CTTCCTCTGTCCTTTCTATTCTTTTTTCTTTCTCTCCTTTCTTTCTTTTTTTTTTTTTTTTTTTAATGAAAGAGCAAGGGCGCTGAGCGGCAGGCCGAGCCCGATTACGCCGCGCGGAGTTGAGTGTCATATATGTTGGCCACAAATCTGTTCAGGATTTGATTCAGAAATAGAAAACGAATAAGAAAAGGGAGGGCATAGGTAAAATTGGTCTGTTTGGCGTGTTAAATTTGCTCGCTGCTCGGGAGTTCCATTGAGGAGCCGGGCTGGTTGGCTGCCCCTTGATTGCTGATCCTAATGATCCGCTTTCTTTGCTACTTGAAGACGCCCTTCATTTTTTATCTGGGGAAGAAAAGGGAAGTGCTCACTCAGGTATCCTGATGGGCTCCACTGTCAGAGGGGCGGGGGATTCCTTTCCAAAATCCGTCAGGGATAGTTAAAGTGCTTTAAAAAGATCTGTGCATTAGTTCTAGAAGATTCTCATTGGAAATGTAGACAAAAAAAGAAAAGAAAAGGCAATTTAAGATTGCTAAAAATAACCTAAGGAATCTTGCCAGAAGCCGGTGAGTCTTGAAATCCTGTTATCCCCACACTCGGAAGTTGGTGTCATATGTTGGCCACAATCTAGTTAGATTTGATTCAGAAATAGAAAACGAATAGAAAGGGAGGCATAGTAAAAGTTGGTCTGTTTCGGGTGTAAACTTTGTCTCGCTGCCTCGTGGAGTTCCTGTGAGGAGCCGGGCTGGTTGGCTGCCCCTGTGATTGGATCCTAATGATCCGCTTTCTTTGCTACTTGAAGACGCCTCATTCTTTTATCTGGGAAGAAAAGGGAAGTGCTCCTCAGGTGTGGTGATGGGCTCACTGTCAGAGGGCGGGGGATTCCTTTCCAAATCCGTCAGGATAGATTAAAGTGCTTTAAAAGATCTGTGCATTAGTTCTAGAAATTCCTCATTGGAAATGTTGACATTAAGATTAATTAGTGACTATTAAACACTTTAAAGAGTCATGAAAACTTTTGCAAATAAAGGATTATTAAAGTGAGGAATACCTTTTAGTACTCATTATAGAGTTTGTTAATGGCTGGCTGTTGTCTGCTTTTTTCAAAGGCACGTTGTATGCTGAGTGTAGTTATTTTGTTTTCTGTAGCCCCATTTTTTTTGTATGTAGAGTGTTTACGGTGAGCAGAGTCTCGGAATATGGCTAAAGAAAGTTTTCATCAGTAGAACTATTTAATCTTCTAGCAGTTATGGTGGTTGTGCAAATAGCTCCTGATTGTCACAGATGAATTCACTTACCAAAACAAGCCCATGAAGTCGGGACTGCAGTCATCGCCCTTTTGCAGATGGGGACACTGAGGCTTCTAGGAGTGGCTTCCCTGAGTTCATGCAGCTGGGAGTGACAGACCTCAGGCCCACGATGCCCCAGCTCCAGAAAGCCGTTGTGACACACTGCCTTCCCTCTCTTAATGGGTCCCCACCATTCTTATATACACTCTCTCCCAAGTGACTCTTAAAAGTGCAAGGAGGTGAGCTAATTCCGTGTCACCACTGGCTTCTCATACCAGTCTTGGGTGTAAAGGCATCTGAGAAAACAGCCGCTGATGTTGCAGCACCTACCTGCCATTGCTCTGGTCTCTCCGGCCCGTTTTGGTTTTGGACAGCCAGGTGCAGTGCTTAAGAACAAGAACGTGGCATGCGCAGATAGACTGTGGGGTTCAGATGCCAGCCCTGGCACATAGTGCTTACTTAATTCCTCTGTGCCTCGGTTTCCCCGTCTGTGGAAGAGGAATAATCATACTGCCTGCATGGAGTGCCTGGCCTAGAGTAAGTGCTTGTTACCATTTATCATGATTATCAGTGACCGTCATTTGCATTTTTCACATTCAGCGAGGTTGTAAAAACCATTTTGTTTTTGCCTTTTGGCTCCCTGTTTGTGTGGTCTGTGGGGTGGAAAGGGATCGCAGGCAGATGTGGAATTCACCATTTGTGCACATTTCCACTCTTATCTTCAGAGCTTGGCCGGGCAGGGTCCCTGCAGGGCGTTCTGGGGAGTGAGCCGATCAGGTTGCCTGGCAACACCAACCTCCTGGGAACATTTCAGCTCCCCCATTCCTGTTCCCGGCTGAGGGACCCCTAGATTTTCACAGGCCTGACTCCTTTCTTGTAAGATTAGCTACTTAGTTTCATGCAACGTTACCCGGTGGGGGAGGATGGCTCTTGACGGGGAGGGTTTGCAGCGGCAGAGGTTGATCTTGCTGATGCGTGGGGTGTGGGGCATCACTTGCGGATGTGCACGGAGAGGCCGGAGCACAGAGAGAAAGCGTAAGTCTGCGCTCTTCTCTTCCCCGACACGGGGCAGTGATGTAGGAAATCTCTGCGTGCGCTTCAGTGGTAGTTTCCATCCTATTGATCTTATTGGTGTTTTTAATCCCGTGTGTCCCTTGGGCCCCGGGCTTGCATCTCTAATAAATCTGCTTTTACCAGCGGTGAAATCTGATCTGAAATATGTTCTTTATCTTCGGAACTTATATAACCACCCTCAAAGGATGAGAGAAATCGGGCCGCTTGAAGACGGAGCTCGGTTCATGCTCGCAGTAGCTCCTGTCACGGCTAATACAGAGAAGGGAACAGAGAGTCCAAATGCATCGTCCAACTCTGGGAGGCCAAGGCTCAAGGATTGCTCGAGCTCAGGAGTTCGAGACCAGCCTGAGCAAGAGCGAGACCACGTCTCTACTAAAAATAGAGAGAAATTAATTGGCCAACTAATATATATAGAAAAAATTAGCTGGCCATGGTGGCACATGCCTGTAGTCCCAGCTACTCGGGAGGCTGAGGCAGGAGGATCGCTTGAGCCCAGGAGTTTGAGGTTGCTATGAGCTAGGCTGACGCCACAGCATTCTGGCCTGGGCAACAGAGTGAGACTCTGTCTCAAAAAAAAAAAAAAGTATTATCCAATCGGAGTGGCTTGTCCTCTTGCCGAGCCGTGGCCAGTGAGTCTGTGCAGGTGTTTAAGTTGATGTAGGAGACAAAGGATCTGACCGGACTGCACAGGCCAAAACGTAGCAGTGTTGCTTCCCTGGTCCCTCTGGACTGGCCATTGTAGAAGGCGCCACGCTGTGGGCGCGGGGCCCGTGTCCACGCTGGCTCACACACGTGCTGGCTTATGGCTGCTGCACCCACGTTAAGTGGCTCTGAATTCAGTAGTCTCCTATAGCTGCTCATTGCACACTCTAGCATTCTGGAAGGGAGGGACGAGACATACTTGGCAGTGTCGTTTGACAGCCTTTCACCTTTCGATCTCTGCAACTAAAATGCTCTCTTTAAGCAGGGTCAGTTGTGTTGCTGTTTGGGTGTTGTCAATACCACCATCCAGCCCTCATTTGGATTTTGGCTTGTGGTGAGTTCGCTGCTACTTGACCACAGACAGTGAGCACCTCGTGCAGGCACAATGCAGACTTCGCAGGTAACTGAGTTAATGCCCTAAACCTTGGTTCCTTCATTTTAAATGCAAGTCGATGGTCCTTTCGTCACTTGTGAATCCCGAATGTGATGTATGTGTGAGGCAAGTGTGTTTCTCTTCCGCGTTATCCTGCAACCTGACGTTAAGTACAACAGAATGGGGAGTCGTGTCAGCCCCACAAGGGCTCATCCCAGTGGCGAGACCGGAGGGGACGTCCCCAAGCCGTGTGGCCCGAGGATGGGTCCCGAGCCGGGCTGCCTGCAGGATTCATCTCCCCCTTTGATGCACAAAGCCCGGGGTCCCCAGAAAGAGGCGGCGAACCTGCCTGGTTCCGGAGGGTGCTGGGAGCTGGGGCCTCGCCGAGCGTGCCAGCGACGTGTTTTGTGGGAGGAAAAAGATCCCTGTTTTCCCCGTGTCCGGCTGGTGTTTAACAAGGCACGTCTTGTCCCCGCGCTTTGTTGCCCGGGCTTCCAGGGCAAAGCAGGTGAACCGGTTTCCGGCGGCCACATGGCGGGTAACCGGAGCACAGGGCAATTTGCGTCTGAGCAGTCTGACAGTGCAAGGCCAAGGGTATAGTCAGCTGTGGGCTTTGTTTCCCGACAGCTTCTCAGCGGCCAGTGCCCCCCTCCCCCGTGCCCTACCTGCTCCCATCCCTGGTGCAGCCAACAGCTGTCACCAACGGGCATGGGCTG